TCATCGAGGCGGGACCGGTTTTCTGCTGCTCTGTCCTCTGTGGATAGGAAACCCAACACCTTTAGGTCCTCTGTTTTTCTGTCCAAGAGAAAAGAGGACCTAAAGGTGTTCGGTTTCGTATCAATAGAGGACAGAGGACAACCCGACTCGCCTCTGTGATGGCCACCCTACTTGGAAGGGGGCTAGGGACAGAAGTGACACATGGACTGGTTTAAGTGATCCCAAAAGCTAGGGACAGAAGTGACACAGAGACTCCTCCCTAGCTTGCCCCTGGGACCTTATGGCTAGCCTATGGCTAACCCTTATGGCTATGGCCTTATGGCTAGCCTATGGCTAACCTTATGGCTAACCCTAGCTTGCTCCTGGGGCCTTATGTCTGAGGGCAAGCAAAACTCGGGGACATCGGAACCCCAAGCCTCTGGGCTTGGGCCTGCACGTAGGATGCCCGCCAAAGGATTTGAGAACATCTGAAGCCCCAGATAGGGGTGGAAGATGTTTGCCGGTAGTAGGCCCACTTATGTTTCTGGACTGCCTCTCGGATTTGGAATTTGTTTTGGCTAATTTGGCTTGGAATACGGACAATTTAAAATCAAAATAATTTTTTAAAAAATGATCAGAAACTGGTTTGAACCTGGAACAGCACAGAAGCTCAGTGCACAAATACCGGTTTCAAAAGGCTGCAACTGGTTTAAGATAAACCTGATGGAATGTTGTATCAGACTTAACTGATTGGGGTCAAACCAGTTTATGAAACTTCTATCCCAGGCCAAAATGGTTTAAATCTGAAACAGAACAGAAGTTTGGTGAACCTAAATGGGGAGGCTGGGCAACAAGGTTGCTGTCACCCCCAGACAGCACCGGCTTTGTAGCATCTCACAGGGTTTGAATGATACTTTGATTCTTGGCGCAGCTGCAAAAAAAACTGAACCAGTTCATTGATTAACAAGTTCACCTAAGTGAAGGAGCAATCCGATTAGAGACCCACCCCCAGGTTATGATTTTCAAATTTTACAGGCAGAATCTTGTCTCTTACGGCCCGCCCCCCCCGCAGCTCCCCTTTAATTCGCACCCTGGCGTCATGTACTGAAGGTTTGGTGCTATTTCAAAACAGGGCCCAGTAAACAGGTCACCACAGGCATTCAGCATGACTCAGGGCTTCTTGTCTAAGGCACTAGCACAAGGAGAGAGGCCCTCAGGTTTTACATTATCAAGGAGGTTTTATTTTTGCTCCCTACCTCAGTAACAAAACTCACTAGCTGCTCCTACCCAACAAGTGGGAGATGAGGCCCAAATGTGAACACTGGCAAACTTCAGGCAGGTTCCAGGCTCTAAATTCAAACTTGCAGCAACTTTTACAATGGGCCCAGTCGAAGCCCCATATCCAAGCTCGTAAGGAAGGCAGCCACAGATCCAGACGCTGGCCCTGATCCTGCAGTCAGATCTATGTTGTCAACTCCTCGTGCTCCCTCACAGCCCTGTTGGCTTCAGTGCAGTCTGGCAAAAGCACCAGGGTTTCTCCACAGGGATCCAATTGCAGTATCATGATCTTTGTGGTTCAGGCCAATTTCTGGTTTCAATAACCGAAGAGTAATGACACGGGTTTATTTGTTTGCTGTGATATTATCTTTATGTTTATATGTGCTGTGTTGATTTGTTTTTACAGGAACTGGCTTTGTATTGGAAAATTAAATGCATAGTTAAGCATTTCATTTCAGGCATTCCCCTGATATTTGGAAATAAAATATGAAGAATTTGTTTTAAAAATGTTCTGCCTGTCGATTAGTTCTCTTTCATCAGTACTTGCTGTTTCAGCTACCTTGAAATGAGAAATTGAGTCACTCATGTTCACAGATTGATTCTGCTTAGTTTCATTAAGATTTTGATAACTATTTCTGCATCTTCTGTTGAAATGTTGTTTAATAACTTACATCCCTGTACCATGAATCATTAACTATTTTGTTGGCTCTGTAAGCAAAAACATATTCTCTGGCCAACATATTTAAGGGTAACCTTAACTGGTTAAATGCACCTACTAATACAGCCACATGAGCAATGTGTGATAATCAAGGATCCAGGTTTTCCATTTCCTACAGAAAAAAACCTGCAGCTTTTCTCTTTTGATGGAGAAAAACATGGAATTTTCATTTTAACAGAGAAATGCATAGATTTTGCACTTCTGCAAAGAGCTCTGTGCAGGCTGGCAGAGTTCCAGCCTGCAAGAGGCCAAAAGGAATAAGAGGAGGTCGGTCAGATAGGTCTCCATGTACACACAGACTGGAGAGCAGCTTCCACAGGTAAATCTGGTATGGGGAGAAGGGAAGACTGAGGCCCTCATACAGAGGAAGCGAGATGGGCAGGGCTGCTGCCCAGTCCAGGCGGTTTGTGTGGCTTGGGGCCTGGGACTGGAATGTGTGGCTGCAGGGTCTAGGCAGGGAGTGGGACGGAGACATGGGAGGCTCATCCGGGGGGTGGGAGGGCTGGCTCCCAGCTGACTCCTGGGGGGCATGGGGAGCACATGCTCCCCAGTTTTATCTGCAGGGCAGGAACACGGGAGGGCTGCTCACTATGGGCTTGCGCTCCCCGCCCTGCTGTCCTTCCCTGCCTCTGCCCCCCACTGGGGCCTCCACAGCCCAGTGGGCAGGACCAGAACGGGACCAAGCGGGGAAGCTCCTTGCCACTGGAAGCCCCATGCTGCCCTGGAGGGGTGCCCCTGCCTGCCTAACAGCAGTGGGGGTGGTAGTGCGGGATTGTGCCCCTCATTGCTGTTGGGCAGGCAGGGTTGCCTTGCCAGGGTGGCACAGAGCTCTCAGGGGCAGAACTGAGCCTCCCCTCCCCACTCTGGGCTGCTGTGCTGGGTCCTGCCCACTGGGCTGTGGAGGCTTTATGGGGAGGGCAGCAGAGTAGGGAGCCCAAGCCTGCAGTGGGCAGCCTGCATCCGCCCACCACAGGCTCTGCTTCAGCTATACCTCCTATGGGGGATGGGGAGCTGGGCTCCACGCTTTGTTCTCCGCTCAAGCTGCAGGAGCCACTGCCTCTTGCAGGCAGCCACTGAGGCTTGGGTTCTGCTGCAGGAGACAGGGGGCTGACCCCATATCCCTGGCAGCTGGGGGCCCCCTCCAGCAGGGCTCGGGGGCATGGGGAACCGCGGGCAGGGACTGAGGAGCACCAGCAGGGCCAGGGGGCTGTGGGTGGGGATTGAGGGGCACTGGCAGGGGTGTGGGGCTATGGCTTGGGAGTGAGTGGCCTTGACCTGCATCTCAGTGAGTGAAAGGGGCAGGGGCAGCTCTGATTTTCCATGATAAAAAACCCAGAAGCAAATAGCAAAATTTATAGATACTTAGAATGTATTTTATTATAGTGATTGAGGCACTGGTAGGCTTTCAAATGGCTTAAAAATTGTAAATATATCAGTAAAGCATTGTGTTCAATTGATACCTGTATATATAGTGGTGATGCCTTTTAATCATGGATTTGGGGATTTTAATCAAGAGAATTTGTTATTTTTAAACTGAGGAAACCAGAAGCCCTGGTGATAATGCAATAAATTTAAGGCATGATAATGCAATAAGTCAGCCACAAAGGTATTCCACACATAATGGAATTATTCATGGAATATGTGGAATACCTTTGTGCCTCATTTGTTTTCACCTTAAATTGAACATGTGGCCAGGGCATCTCAAAACTTCATGTACTGTCCTGGGCTCCACCTGCAACTGCACGTAAAGCAACAGTAAGTAAAACCCTCATCCCAAAATCACCGGTCCTGCCATGCCTGTGTGGCATAGCAGGATTTTTAAACTTGGGACCAAGGATTACATTCCATCACATCTTAAACTGAACATCTGTCAGGGGCCTACAGGGACTTGATGTTTATCTAATACAGTAATTCTCAACCAGGGTGCCACAAGATTTATTCAAGGGTGCCACAGGGTGTACAAATAGGTGTTAGGTGTGCAAATAGGATTCACAAGATAAACCCAGTTTTCAAACAAGAATCCATAGTCAAAAGCATTCCGACTTGTTCTGATCTTTCTGAGCTCTTTGCAGCAGAATTGCTGTATTATTTGTCTGTAGTCACAGACCTAGAGTAAACTAAGAGCTGACATTTTCCATGGGGTACCTTGAGTCAAACAAGGGGTGCTTTGAGTCTAAAAAGGTTGAGAACCAGTGCTCTAGTACCATATTTGGTGAAAGGCCGTGGACTGTAAACGTGCGACAGTTGGGCCTGCACTTACTGGCAAATCCCCAGTCTATTGTTCGGCTTGACTGACTAGACTTGGTAGATGCAGTGAGTCCAGTCATGGAGCAGCTCTCCTACCATTTGTCAGAGGTTGCTCCAACCCAATGGCTCTGAACTGACTTGTGAGCCAGCATAGAATCTATGGTCCCAGCACTACTGGTCCCAACTACACCTGTTCTGTACAGAGTAGCTACAGAAGACACTGTGACTGCAGAGTAACCAGAGTTACTGCACAGTAGCATCGCTGAATGGGTTTTAGGTGACACTGACTGCACAGTAGCTTGTTACTACTGCGCAGTAACGTTGCATCAT